CAGCGGAGTAATGAGCCGTATGGGCGAAGGGGTAATAGTAATAATTAATTAATAGGATAATTAGTTAATTAATTAATTAATTTAATATATATATATTGTTACGTTTCTGTATGTTTGTTTGTTAATTATTCTAAGATACAAGTCCTTTCTTTATAAAACTTGTTTATTCTTCCTCAATACAACTTTGTAATGCACTTAATTTTCACAGTTACACACTTCACTCACTTTCTATCGCGCTTAGACTTAATTGTCCGTCCCCGCAAACTATAGTTCCGATCTCTGTGTCTGCTATCCTCAGTTCCCGCCGACCGTAATCGCTGTCTTTCTTTCTCTCGCCTGCTTCGTCTCTGCTTCCGTCTGTCTCCACTACTGCATCGACTCCGTCTGTCTCTCTCACTGTCTAGCGCACTTACATACGATAATACTGCCTGTTCTAGAAACTTCTAAGACTCTCAACACGTGCTACCAGCGTCAATTGACTCCCGCTGTCGCAACACACTAGCGAATCTTCTAGAATATTCGTCACGTGACCCCACTGTCGTGACACACTAACGAATCTTCTAGAATACTCGTCACGTGACCCCCACTGTCGTAACACTGCCCCTTCCTTAGAATTGTTCGTCCCGAACAATAGCCACTTACATTAAACTAATAAACAATTAACAATAACTTAATTAAATGTACAGAATTTACAAACACAAAATTAAAATTCAACAAAGTCTTTTAATTTTTCGGGACGTATCTTGTTCAGCACTGGTCTCTGTCTCGTTGGCTTCTGCTTCATGTGGGGTTCATCTGCTTCATCAGGAAACGTCCTATCATTGGTAACAGTCACATCAGTAATAGTAACTTCTTTAAGGGCTTCGCTGTTTCCCTTCTTAAAACCGAATAGTGTTTCTTCTTCGACAGTGGCTTTTTCAGGTGACACGTCTTCAGCAGCGTCATTTGTTCCATTGTTCACTTCATCCCAACTGAAATGTCCTGGACCGTGATAACGCCAAAGCCTGTTGGCATGCACCACCTTTGGCTTACCTCGCTGACCACATTTTATCCGGAAAGTCACGTCTGACAGACGATCCACTATGTCATATGGACCTTCCCATGGAGAAGACAACTTAGGAGACTTCCCTTTGGTCTTCCTGGGATTATACAACACCACCTTGTCTCCTGGTACAAAGCTAACTTCAGTAGATCTCTTATCATAAGATAACTTCATCGAATCAGCAGACGTTTTCAAGTTTGAGCGCATTTGATGGTTAATATCATTCATCCTTTCTGTTAACGATTTCACAAACTCTGAGACATTTTCAGGAAACTCTTCATAAGATGGGCGTCCTGTTAACAGATCCACGGGCAATCGAAGTTCCCGACCAAACATCAACTTTGCTGGAGTGTATCCAGTGGCTTCATGCTCTGCTGTCCTATAGGCCATCAGCAGTGGA